ACACAAAAGACTCGATTTTGTCAGAAGGAATGGAATCGAAAAACTTTAAAAGACATTTTTTCTAACACTTAAAATTGTTGTTTATAAAATGTAAAAAACCGTTTTAAAAAAAATTGTAAAATGACTGAGATATCTTGTTTTAAAAGTTGGGCAAAATTTTAGTTGTGACCCGTTAAATACTAAAGTTTATACAAATATGTAAAGATATTGTATGCAAAGGATCCAAAATCGAGAAAAAACGGAGTCGAGAGAAATCGAGAAAAAACTCCGTCGGAGTCGAGAAAAAATCGGAGTTTCGATAATATTTTGTTATAAAAATTAAACTATCTATTTGATAAAAAAATTAAACTCTCTATTTGATAATTAAACATTGTTCTTGTATTTTTATTTTTTAATTTTAAATATTTCGATTTATAATTCATAATAAAATTTTAAAAAATTTATATTTTTATATTTCTTAGCACATAAATATTTTTTTTATCACAATTTTTTAACGAACAAGTTATATCTAATAATTGGCTTTCTAACCGGCATCGGTTAGGAAGAAGTAAAAATTAAAAAAAAAATTTGAAAAAAAAAGTATTTATACTGAAGATCTTTTTAAATAATATTTTAAAAAGATCAAAACATCTATCATTTCATCAGAAAGCGAACTACGAAACTTTGTGACAAATCTGGAAGACGAGGAGAAAACTCTTTCTGCTTCCGAGGAAGTTGCTTGAATTCTGTGGATGGCTAGTTCAAATTTTAAAACTGTTTCTGATTTCACACCAGTTACTTCATATTCTTTCAACTGATCGGTGAAGGTCTTGACTTTTTTTGGTTTTTTAGCTGCTGATTGATTTTGAATTAGAACTTCTTGAATTTCGGAGAAAAAAGATGTCGATCGTGATGGTTCTTCTTGTTTGTTTTTAGCGTGATCATCTGATTTTGATTGGAGACTATTTTCTTTTGTTGCAAATAGTTGATCAAATAATTTTGAAGCATAAATTTGAATATCTTTTTTGGAAGCGTAAAAAAATGTGTGGTTTTTATTTTAAAAAAAATCGGGATTGTGCAAATAACGACTCAATGATACCAACATAACGTTTTTACGATCTTCATATCTGGAGATTAAGGTCTCTGCAAAATTAGAACTGATGTTAGTTTCTGCAACCTTCAATTTCCTTACTAACGTTTCCATAATAATGTCACACTCCAAAATTGTTGTATTTGGTTTTTCCAAGCGAACTGCAGCGTCAGCAACGACTTCCAATAAGTCAGACAGCGATTTTAAGAAATCCAAGTCAATTTCAGCTAACATGTTTAAGCAGTTTAGCTCTTCGAGTGTTTTTTTTACAGCTTCTAAGCAATCCAGAAATCTTTTAATCATCTTAAAAACACTGTTCCATCTTGTTCGGTTGTCGAACAACAGTCCTTTGTCATGCGAAGATCCGTATATTTCGTGTATTTTTCTTTTAAGAACTTCATATCGAAACAATGAATATTTCAAAAACTTAATTAGTATTCGAAGTTTCTGCATATTTTTTTCGATATTTTCTTCATACTCAATCTCATTCTCCGAATATTCAATAAGAAACTCTCCTTCAGACTCTCCATCAGTTTCTATTTCTGTTTCAATAATCGATTCAGTTTCTTTGTTCACAATTTTGCGACAATCTTTTTTAGCGTATATCAAATCACAAACACTCAAATGAATTGAATGATTCTGGCAGATCTGATGTGGAAACTTAAATATGGTACCCAATTTCACCATCCAACTACAGCCATCCGTAGTTTTACCTGCAATATCTTCACTATCTATACCAAATTCTTTTAATTTTTCCATTATCAAAATGTTTAATGTTTCAGCAGAACTAGAAGATGGCAATCTCATCATTCCTAAACAATACGTTCTGTCGTGATGAACATTTAAATTGTAGTATCTTCTACCTCTATTGCTACACCATTCGTCACCTGTTAGTCCAAATTTTTCTCCTTTTGCTTTCAATGCAGCCAATTCAGCGATCATTAAGTATTTGGCTTCAGCATGAAACACCTTAATTTTTTCTGAAATTGCGGACGCTGACTTAGGCAAACTATGCCCGTAATTTTCAAAAAGCATTCTTAGTGTTTCAGATTGAGTTATGGACCTAATCGAATACCCATCAAGAGCTGTCAACTTGGCAAGAAGATTGTTTAATGACATTTTAGTCAAAACTGGTCTGGAACTGAATGGTTTCAAATCTGTTTTCTCGCAACTTTTGACGTGTCCAATAAGGCCGTTTGTGCTGCTTCCTGGACAAGCGATTCTTTTATGACAATTTTGCAATCTCCATACTTCTTATCATTTACCACAACTTTATTAAAGTACTTCCACGCTTCCGAAACCATTTTTTTCTATGAAAGAAAAATTATCAATTTGATAATGACCTCCCATATTTGTTTTTAATTTTATTTTAATTGTGAAAAGTTATCACATTTTAAGTTATTAAGTTATTTATTCTGATAGGTAAGTATAATTAAACATTAATTATTATTATTATTTATTTTCACTGATAACATTTTATTGCACAATTTTGCCACAATGCTCAGTGGGCCGGATTTTAGACTTATGGTGGACAAAATTATTTTGATCATACAAAATACGACACTACTTGTATAAAATGAAAGTTTTATATGTTTTATATGTTAAAAACTTACCTCGTTATTTTACGACCAGTCTTTGTTTATATTATAAATAATGATCTTGACTAAACTTTTTTTTTGTAAAAGTAAACTATTGAGTAGTTAAAATATATAAACTAATATCACATTCGCATAATATTTTAAAAGTTACTGTTTATTATATCTTTGCTTAAAAATTAAAAAATTCTTGCTTTTTATTATGCATTACATTTTATTATACCGCAATTGATTTTTGTGGATTTAAAAAAATACTAATACTAAAAAGATACTAATATACACAATATAATATACACAAAATAGTTTTTGAAATAGTACAATGGAAAAGTATGAGCATGCTTTAATATATGGTTTTGAATTGAATAAACTTTTTTTGAGGTTTTTTTCACCATCATCACCTGGCCCACTGTGCATTACCAATTGCTTTGCGATGTATATTAGTGTTGTTATTAAACGAAGAGAACACTTACATTTGAAACAATTTTTAAAATTACAATTTACAATTGTAAAAACCACGTAGAAATAAAATAAGAATTCAATTATTTAACGAATAAAAAATTGGTATTTTCTAAAAACTTCGTCGAAGTTTCGTCGAAGTTTCTCGATTTGTCTCGAACTCCGAAACTCCGAAAAACCGAGAAAAATCCGTCGAGACGGAGTTCCGAATGGATCCACTGATTGTATGCCAGCATCTAAATAGCAAACATTTATGTTTATATCCATATATATCAATATTATGTTTGCATAAATGCGTCTCTTACTTTACCTCTTGGATCCAAGAAGATATGGATTTAGGTATGTTATTCAGTAAAGTTGCATCCTTTTACTGTATCTGTCCCTCCATGCTATAAAAAAATTTTTGTCATGTTTATTTCATCACACACCAACAAAATCTCAAAACTCTTACCCATCTTCATGTTTTCCTAACTTATACAACCAGCAACATTTTAAGCCTTATACAACTATATTTTAAGACTCATACAACCTAAAATATTTTAAGCCTGACTAATACAATCTACAACTTTTTAAACTTTAAGTTAATTACAAAATCATTTCCTTTCCCTTTAACCATAATTTTATAGTGGTTTCCGAACTAAAAAAAATTTTAAAATGAAAAAACTTTTTGTATTTCAACAATTACTTTTTTAAACTATAAGTAATTATTTAACTAAGATAGTATAATAATTGAAATGCTCTAAAATAACATTTTAAAAATAACTGATTGAAAAATACTGCTGTAAATGTTCAATGACACATTTAAAACAGCCATGCAATGGTAATAAACAAAAGATAAAACAAGAAAACAGTTTCAGTTTATTATCCAGTAGGTTGAGATAAATCTTGCATATCATTTTTGCTCACAAAAACAACCCAAAAGTAATAATTTCCAATAGCACTAAAATCACAACATTTACTTTAATAAAAAGAAAAGTTTTGGGTTAGTGTAAAAATGTCACTAAATTTTGTTAGTAACCAAATTTTTTAAATTTTTTTCTTTTTAATTTTTTTAATTAAGCTTATCAAATGATCAATAAAGTGGATAATGATATGAAAAAATAGTTAAAGAATAATATTTAAAAGAAAGATTGAGCCGAAAGTCATGAAATAATGGTTATAAATAATTTACTGTTAACAAAATAGCAAAGAAATGTAAACAGTAATTTATATATATATATTTATTTTTTTTACTTTAAATAAATTTTAATATACAAAGTGACATAAAGTTATAAACAACAATAACAAATAAAAATTAATATACATTATAATAAACAATTACAATAAGAAATACATAATAATTAAAATAACAGGTACATGTTGACTACTAAATAAAAAATTTAAATCTATTCAATTGATTAAATAACAAAATCTATTGAAATTAAATCTATTGAATTGATTAATTAACAAAATCTTCCATTTATAAATTTTATTAAATAAAAGTTTAACTAAGCATCATTCTTATAGCAATGATGTCATTTTCATAATAATGATGATGTCATTCTTATTATAGCAATGATGTCATTTTTATTATAGCAATGACGTCATTATTGTGATGATGTCATTTATTATAGTGATAATGCAATTTTTCTAATTTTAATGGTGGTGTTTTGTCTTTTTAATTATAATAATGATATTATTGTTTATTATGGATTATGGGTGTGATTCTTTATACCAATATGATTGTCATTATTCTTATTGTTGAAAATGGTGTTATTTTTCTTATTATAATAGTGGTATCATTGTTTTTATTGTGAATAATTATGAGATTTCTTTTATTGTAATAATGATTATCTTGTTCTTATTGCTGGCAATTAGTTGAACAAATTTTTAAACTTTAGATGAATTTGTGTCATCCTTCAAGAACATTGCTCAAGCAACTGCATTTAGAGACTCTCTTGTAATCAGCCTTTATACACGCTTGTTTGGTTGGGTGGTTAACCGAATAAATTTTTATTTGGAGTTGGATCAAAAAAAGTATAATTGAGTTATTATCTTGTATTAATAATATTTGTTTATAATAATTTCTATATTTTATTAATAATATTTGTTTATAATAATTTCTATATTTTATTAATAATAATTGTTTATAATAATTTCTATATTTTATTAATAATAATTGTTTATAATAATTTCTATATTTTATTAATAATAATTGTTTATAATAATTTCTATATTTTATTAGTAATAATTGTTTATAATAATTTCTATATTTTATTAGTAATAATTGTCTATAATAATTTCTATATTTTATTAATAATAATTGTTTATAATAATTTCTATATTTTATTAGTAATAATTGTTTATAATAATTATAATAATTGTTTATAATATTTCTATATTAGTTATTTCTAAACATTTAATCCTATGATATCATTTCTAAAAATTTCTATATTGTTTTGTGGTAGTTGCGTAAAATAAAAATTTGATAAAAAATAATTTTTTAAAATGTTTTTGACATAAATTGTTTTCTACAACTTTTAAATATTCCCAAATCAAAAATATGAGTTATAATTTTGAAATATAATCTGGTCTGGAATATATAATTTACATCAATTTATATAAACGTTGCAATCCATAAGAATCTTTAAAATTAAATTTATAGAAATCCAGATGGAGGAGATTTGAAGAGTGTATCGGTTGGTTTTTTCGACATATTTGGATTTGAAAACCTATATAAAAACAACTTGGAGCAACTTTTTATAAATACAACAAATGAACAAATCCAGTTTTATTTTACCCAGCATATATTTGCTTGGGAGCAGGTATGAATTTCTTCGAGTTGAAGATTTTTTATATCTCAAATCTGTGAATTGTTATTTATTTGGGTTGAAGATTTTATAGGAAACAGATTAGAAAAGTAAAAAAGGATTGATACATTTTAACTAAAAAATTTTCTGAAAAAGTCTCAAAATAAAATGTCTCAAGAAAAAAATTGTTATTATTGTTATTTTTATTATGTTTTTGCTGTTTGTGTCAATTTTTTGACAAGTTAGTACCTGTGTGCCAATAATGTGAATCAATAATGTTTTGATTTTTTTAATATTATGGTGTGTTAATTGGTTTGGGTATTAAATTATTTTTTTCTCCTTTTCTCAGAAACCTCACACTCCATTTCTTAACATTTCTCACAAATCTTTTTTCATACGTTATTTCTTACACACCTATTTTGCACACTTTTTCTTGCACACCATTTTTCACACAACTTTTCTTAGACAACTTTTCTCACACATCATTTCTCACACACCATTTCTCATACACCATTTCTCATATACTATTTTTTGCACACCTTTTCTCACACGCTGCTTCTCTAACACCTTTTCCCAGACACCTTTTCTCACACAGCTTTCTGAGAGTTATGGCTTATAAAATTAGGTTATTACTATAGGTTATTGTTTTAATTATTTTTAATTTTTATGAATAACTTCCTTTTAAAAAAATTTAATAGAAATGATAATTACTTTTTCATGTAGCTTGAGTATGAACAAGAAGGTATTGAAGCCAAAATGATTCCTTTTATCTGCAATAAAGAAATAATCAATCTACTACTTGAGGTTGTTTTTTTCATTTATATATATATATATATATATATATATATATATATATATATATATATATATATATATATATATATACATATATATATATATACACATATATATTTTTTTTTTTTTTTTTTTTTTTTTTTAACATCTTCACTTCCAACAAGGCTGCAAGCAACCACTATAAGAGTTGGAAGTTACTGGAAGAGAAAAGACTAAATCTGTAGAGCAAGATAACGATTGACTGATGACTTAAAAGATTGCAAATTATATGAATCAGGAAAGCAAGATGAAGGAAGCGAATTCCAAAGAACTGATGTTCGAGGAAAAAAACTAGAAGAATAAGAGTTTTTGAAGCACTTAGGAACAGTCACAGAAAAAGGATGAGACTTAATTGAATGGCGAGTAACACGAGAATGAATTTTAGTAGATGGCACAAGGGATGCTAGCTCTTTAGAGCAGTGCCCATTATAGTATTTGTAAAAAAGAGAAAGAGAAGCAACATTACGACGATGTGACAAAGGTTGGAGATTGGCTGCCAGAGCAGGTCCAACTATGTTTACAATTCGTTTTTGCACCTTGTCTAAAAGAGAAAGAGCATCATTAGAAGATCCGCCCCAGATGTGGCAACAGTATTCCATACAGGGACGGATTTGAGATTTATAGAGATAGAGAATAGAATCTGGAGTAAGAAAGTGTCGAGCTCGATAAAGAGATGCAACCTTAGCAGATGCTAATTTTGCAATGGATTTGATATACGGTTTAAAAGAAAGATCAGAAGTAAGAGTTAATCCTAGAAGATGAATGGTAGATGACTCATCTAGTACATTACCATTCATAAATATAGGAAGATCTAAATTATTACGGTAACGATTGGCCGAATAAAATTGAGTTTTATCTGAATTAAAGTTCACCAGCCACTGTGAGCCCCATGCTGTAGCAGAAGTGAGATCCTTTTCAAGCTCAGATACCCCCTCCAAGCAATCAGAGAGTGTAGGCTTCTTATCATGACAAGAGTAAATGGTAGTGTCGTCAGCGAATAATGCCACCTTAGATGTGAGAATATCTGGAAGATCGTTAATGTAAATTAAAAAGAGTATAGGGCCAAGGATTGAACCTTGAGGAACCCCTGAAGTTACAGGATGTGAAGAAGAGTGTTGTCCATCGAGGACAACTTTTATACTACGATTGGAAAGAAAGGACTCAATAATCTTAAAGACGTTACCAGCTACACCATAAGAAGAAAGCTTATGGAGAAGACCAGCATGCCAAACTTTATCAAAAGCTTTAGAAATGTCAAGTGCGATAGCCTTAACCTCTCCACCTCTATCTAATGCACGGTAAAACCTATCGGTTATTACTGTTAGCACATCAGCTGTAGAACGAGAAGACCGAAATCCATATTGATGATCAGAAAGTAAGTTATTTGATTCAAGATGAGAAATTAAGTGTTTGTTGATTAAAGATTCAAAAACCTTGCTTATGACAGGAAGAAGACTAATGGGACGGTAGTTAGATGAATCAGATCGTTCTCCGGAATTTTTGAAAATAGGGATAACAGATGCTGCTTTCCAGCATGATGGAAAACAAGACTCTGATAAGCACTTGTTAAATAGTTTAGAAAGTATGGATGAAAGCTCCGGAGAACACCTCTGCAAGACTACAACAGGAATGTTGTCAGGACCACAAGCTGTTGAAGAGTCTAAGCAGGAAATTACTTTAGATACAGAAGCTGAAGTGATGCGAATGTCAAGCAAGGGATCAACCTGTTTGACGGCTATGTCAGGTAAAACGCAACTAGTGGAATCAAGAGATGATATTGATGAAAAGTTCTTAGCAAACAATTCAGCTTTGTCTTTAGGTGAGGTGACAAAGTCTGAACCATACAAGAGAGAAGGAATAACAGATTTGCCCTTATTATTGATACTGTTAAAGATTCTCCAGAAGTCTCGAGAGCCTAATTTTTGTGATGAGATACGAGATTTAATGACCTGGGAATAGCGAGCTTTAGCGTCAGACAAAACCTTTTTACAATGGTTTCTGGCGATAGTGAACAGATGTCTGTTTTCTGGAGAATTGTTTTGCTGATAGATATGGAAGTAACGGTTTCGATTAGAAATTGCTACTGCGCAATGTGAGGAAAACCAAGGAGAAGAGTGAGGCTTGACCTGGAATCGTCGAGAGGGAATAAAAGATTCCATGCCAGCCTGAATCCACGAAGTTATGTAAGAAGCACATTTGTCAGCAGGAAGACGAAAGATTTCTACCCAAGGGCCATCACGAAGAAAATCACGGAAAGAGTCCCAGTCAGCTTTAAGGTAGTTGTATGTGGTACGATGATAGGGGGATTCTGATGAAGTAGAAGAATTTGATAATAGTTTTAGAGAGATCAAACCGTGATCAGAAGTACCTAAGGGTGAATGTGGAGAAATTGAGCACTGACTAGGATCCAAAACAAGACATAAGTCGAGTAGAGAAGGTAAATGATTAGGGTTGTCTGGAAAACGAGTTGGAAAGTTGACTATTTGAGTTAGAGATTGAGAAAGGCAAAAGTTGAGAGCCTTAACGCCAGCAGAGTCACTGACACTAGAGCCAAGCCAATCGGTGTGATGGGCATTAAAGTCACCAACAACGACAATATTGGCCGATGGATAAAGAGAGAGGGCTTGGTCAATTTGATCAGAAATAACATCAAGAATAGTGCAATCTTGGGATGAAGGAGAGCGATATAGAACAAAGAGAAAGGCGATAGAGTGAAGTTGTGCTAAACGAAAGCACATAAATGAATAGTCTGTAGATTCAAACCTAGTTTCACGACAAATGGGTGAGTTCTTACGAATGTAGATGCCCAGGCCAAGCATGTGATTATTGGAGTCTTTACGAATTAAAGGAAGATAACCATCAACACTAAGATCACAAGATGGGACAGCTGAACTCAAATTAGTCTCACAAAGAGCAAGTAGGTCTGGTGAACTTTGCAAGAGATAAGACTCAACAGAAGAAAAGTTACTTCGAAGACCACGAATATTAGTAAATGATAGGTTTAGAGAACTTGGTGATGACAATGGTTTTTTGTGTTTTTTAGTTTTAGGTACTTTAGTCATTTTAAATTTATAAAGAACTTGACTCAAGTATAGATAGTACTCAGTACACTATTTAACAACTAAGCAATAGCCTCATTACTATTAATAAACCCTAAGCCGTAACAAAGGGCTCCAAATGTGGCCTCTGCAATGCACACCAAAAGTACAAACAGGGACACCATCCATGCGCAACATGGCACTGTTAGTACTCTGATATTTTTCGGCTGTTGATGGAATCAGCCTCTCTGAGAGCTACCACAGAGTTCGGGAAACCTGACTACCAGCCGGCCTCAGAACCATAAAACTGAGTTTTAGAGCTGTACCCTCATTAGGAGATAATAGAATGAGTTGCCCAGTCATAAAAATAGAGACACAAGCAATACCCACGCATTGAGTCAAGAAGATCCAGCGTTCAACATCCTAAACTGGAAACAATGTATTAAAAATACATCTGCGCCAGCCTAATAGATGAGGAAGGGGTGCGAGGCTGGTCAACAGATAGAATCTGTTTACCCCTTAGACCAATGTGTATATATATATATACACATTGGTCTATTTATGATAAGTGCAAATAAGACATTTTGCAGAAGAAGAGTTTGAAAATTTGATTTGTTTCCATGAATCAGGAAATGATGAAATATTGTTAAACTACAGCAATCATAGATCAAATGAAATATAAAAAAACTGCAAAAATACCCCTAAATAAAAATACAAAACAAAAATACCCCTAAATTTCAAAATATTCTTATTCGAACTAAGCATGAACTTAATTTTAGGGTTTTGACAATGTCAAAAATTGTCATATCTAAAGTTTCAAAAATCCTGCCATTGAGTACAGATGTCGAGGTAATTTTATTAAGTCTTTTAGGTCTTTACATTGCATCACTAAAAAACCATTATTTCAAAAAAGTGCAAAAATCTCTCACTCAATTTTTTTAGGGTACATTGCTGAAAAATAGAACACATTAACAAATGCTGAAACTACCCAGTAAACAGTTGTATATCAGTTTTCCAGCTTCACTAAACTTAAATTTTTATTTTTCAATATTTTTTCAAATTTTAGCCCTACTTTTACAACTACTTTTAAAAAATTTTTAAATCTGAACTCTAACTTATCTCAAACTAGTCTCATAGACCTTTTCATAAATATATAATATCTATATATATATATATATATATATATATATATATATATATATATATATATATATATATCTATATATATATATATCTATATATCTATATCTATATATATATATATATATATATATATATATATATATCTATATATATATATATATATATATATATATATATATATATATATATATATATATATATATATATATATATATATATATATATATATATATATATATATATATATATATATATATATATATATATATATATATATATATATATATATAATATATAAATATATTCCCATAAATATATAAATATAGTATATGTCTGGGAAAAAATTAAAAGTAGTTCTATATAAATTGGTCAGAGTATCACCCATAAAAGTTCTCTTAAATTACACTTTTTACCAAAAGTTTTAACTTTGTACCCACATATCTTATTAAAATTAATTTTTTTTTTTAACATATTTATATTGAACTAGCAAAAGGCAACCCGTAATACAGGTTTTGGTTGGTCTGTTACATAATTAATTTATAGTAGCTGTTTTCCACAATTTAATCTTGCAAAACCTTAACTTATACCTTTTTAGAAAATCGCCTTCAGCTTGAAAAAATTAATCCATCTGTAAAATTAACAAAAAAATTATCAGGAGGTAAAATAATTTACCAACTACTACTTAACATTTACAATTACTACTTAACATTATTTTCATCGACCTTCCTAAGTTTAACACAATACGTTTTTAGTTACTGACACAAAATAATAACACTTGGTCATGCTTTA